CACCCACAAGCTGTCCCCTGGTCACCACATACACAGAACAGTGTATGCGTACACACATACATGCGCACAAGTACACACACTTATATCAATGTAATTTGTTTTGTTTTTTTGAGACAAGATTTTTCTGTAGCCCTGGAGCATGTCCTGGAACTAGTTCTAGTAGATCTGCCTGCCTCTGCCTCTTGAGTGCTGAGATTAAAGGGGTGCGCTGCCACCACCACCCAGTCCACAATGTAATTTTTTTAGATAGGGTCTCTCTGAGTAGCATTGGCTGTCCTTGAGCCTGTTATCAAGACCAGGCTGGCCTCAAACTTACAGAGATCCTTCTGCCTCTTCCTCCCAAGAGCAGGGATTAAAGGTGTGTGCCACCATGCCCAGCCTCTATGCAATTTTTTTTTTTTTTTAAAGAGAACCCTGGTGTTCTGTACTGGGACAAGAAAGCGTTTCCTTGGGGTCAGCACACATAAGATGATGCAGCTGTGGTCCAAGGGAACAACATCTGTTGTCCAGGTTTTGAAGACATGAAAACTGCAAGATTTGGGGGTGGGTGTGGAAACTCTGGTGAGAGGCCCTGAGAAGTTATTGTGCAAAGCCGTCAAGGTGAAGCCTAGAGCTGCAGTGGCAACCCCAGAATATTGGAGATGCCAGGACCACCGATTGGCACGTGCACTGAGGAGCGCTGCATGTGACGGCCCTAACCTAGCAGGGAACCCATGGGTAAAGGCCATGGAGGGGCGGGGCGAGGCAATGGAAGCCTTTTTGGAGACCAGATGATTATATTAGAGCCTCAGATCCAGAAGGCAGAGCTTCAGGACTTGGCATCTGTCTTACAGGCTCTGGGTTTGCTCTCATGTGATTGCTCCTTCCTACATCCTAGTTCTTCCGCTGTGGAGCAGGAATCTGTATTCTGTGCCATCGCAAGCTCGAAGGCTGTAGCTTGTGTTTTATTTTATAGGAACTCAAAAGACTTTGGACTTTTAAAGTGTAGATACTTTCCATGACTGTGGTATTGAACTTTAAAAGTTTGCCCAGTGTACTTAGTGTTACAAGGTGACCATGAGCGTATTGGGGACAAGAGGCTATAGTTTAAAGTGATATGTGTGTGTCAGGTTTATAAGGGGTGGAGTTAAGGTGGTTAGTTTTAATCATCAGTTTGATGCCACCTAGAATAGCCTGAGAAGGGCCTCTGAGAGTGTCTGTTAAGAATTTCTTCCTTTTAGCTGGGCAGTGGTGGTGCACACCTTTAATCTCAGCACTGGGGAGGCAGAGGCAGGCAGATCTCTGTGAATTTGAGGCCAGCCTGGTCTACAAAAGCTAGTTCCAGGACAAGCTCCAAAGCTACAGAGAAACCCCGTCCCGAAAAACCAAAATAAACAAACAAACAAAAAGAATGAAAGAATGAAAAAGAAATCTGGTCACATAGGCCTTTAATTTCAGCAGAGAGACCTCTGACAGTTCAAGGCCTGCCTGGTCTACTTAATGAGTTTCAGGCCAGCTAGAAGTACTTAGTGAGATCCTATCTTTAAAAGGAAATCAGCCAGGCAGCGGTAGCACAGGCCTTTAATCCCAGCACTCAGGAGGCAGAGACAGGCAGATTTGAACTCTGTGAGTTCAAGGCCATCCTGGTCTACAGAGTGAGCTCCAGGACAGCCAGGATAGACACCAAAGCTATAGAGAAACCTTGTCTTGAAAAAAAAAAAAAAAAGACAGGGTTTTCTCTGTAGCCTGTCCTGGAACTAGCTCTTACAGACCAGGCTGGTCTTGAACTCACAGAGATCCACCTGCCTCTGCCGCCCAAGTGCTCAGATTAAAGGCATGCACCACCATTGCCCAGCATGAAAGATTTCTTAATCACACTAATTGGGAAGATCCTCTCGGGCTGGAGAGATAGCTCAGCCTTTAAAGGCTAGGCTCACAACCAAAATAAGATCTTCTCACTGGGTGGCACTGTTCTCTGTGCTTGGGGACCTTGGGCTGGAGAAGTGCAGAGGGCAGCTGAGCAGTAAATGCTACTGGTTGTGATGAGGGTTCGACAGCCCCCACTGAACACACTCACTAGTCTCATGGTACCTTTACCTTCCCACATACTCCGTCTGGCGGGTCGCTGGAGGCCCCTCTGCAGTCTAACCTCCCCCCTCGGCAATGGCACAGATGTTAGTCGCTGTGATTTTTTTCTCCAGAGGCAACCAGGGAACAGAAGGTGAGGGTGAAGGAATAGTGATAGTGACTGAGCATGTCCCCGAAGCGGGAAAGCTGGAGGAACATCCAGGGCACCCAGGACAGCATGGAGATGGTGGAGCAATGGATTAAGTGTTCAGATGGAACACTTTAACCAAGGGACGGTTAAAGTCCACACACTGCCTGTTGGTTTGGATGAGGGCTTAAGGGCTGAGGACGGAGATGGTGTGTGTGTGGGGGGGGGGGGGGAGACAACTTATAAGTAGTGGTAACAACATGTAAGCAAGTAGCCTCAGTAGGGAAGATGGTAAGACAGTCAGGTAAGAAAGGTTAAGGGCCAGGTGGTGGCGGCGCACGCCTTTAATCCCAGCACTCAGGAGGCAGAGGCAGGTGGATTTCAGCGAGTTCAAGTCCAGCCTGGTCTACAAAGCGAGTTCCAGGATAGCCAGGACTATTACACAGAGAAACCCTGTCTCCAAAACCAAAACAAAACAAAAACACAAAACAACAACAACAACAAAATAGGATAAGGGGGCTGGAGAGATGGCTCAGAGGTTAAGAGCACTGACTGTTCTTCCAGAGGTCCTAAATTCAATTCCCAGCAACCACATGGTGGCTCACAGCCATTTATAATGAGATCTGGTGCCCTCTTCTGGCCTGCAGGCAGACATGCAGACAGAACATTGCATACATAATAAATAAATAAATCTTAAAAAAAAAAAAAAAAAGAGGTTAAGGAGCAAGGGTAGTGGTGCATGCATGTAATCCCAGTGGTCAGGAAGCTGAGGCATCTGGACGGAGAGGAGGAGGTCAGCTTGGGTGACGGCGTAGTTGCCTTTGGCCCTGCTCCCTCCATGGAGAATTCCGTCCCTGAGGTTTACAGCCTTGTTTCACACAGTTTGGACTCAAAGCAGGGAACTCACTTCACAGCTTCATCTCTGCTAATAACTCCCTCTATTGAGCAACACACTACCCGAGATCAAGAGCCGTAATCTTTAAAGAACATAAACAGTTCACAGAAGAGATGCAGACAGACACAGCAACCCTTAAAGAGAGGTCTTGGCTACACAAGGTGGCACGTACCTGTAATTACAACTTGGAGCCAGATGAAGGATGGGGAGTTCAGGGCCAGCTTCCCCTACGTAAGACCTGGTCTCAAACAAACACACATAGGCCAAACAAATGACTGACTCTGGAGAAGCCCCACCCATCCTTGCTGTGTTCCATTTTCCTGAGCCCTTGTTTTCTATTAACTTCATTTACGTCGATGTTCACCACGAGAGATGCTCAGTGGTGAAGTGCACTTACTGCGGTTGCTCTTGCTCCAGCTCTAGCAAAGGAGGCGGATCCGTTCTCGACGCTCAGATGTTGACTCACAGCCATTCATAACTCCAGTTCCACGGGCTCTGCCGCCCTCGCCTGACTTTCACAGGCACACCACTAAGCTTTTAGTCCTTCTTATACTATAATACATAGGCACACACATTTTTAAATTCTTCTTTAGATTTTACTTATTTTTATTTTGTCTACAAGTGTACTTGTGCACCAATGCATGCAGTACCTGTGGAGGCCTAAAGAGGGCGTCAGATCTCCTGGGAATGCTGTTATAGATAGTTGTGAGCTGCCATGTGGGTGCTGGGAATCAAACCTACATCCTCTGGAAGAGAAGTCGGTACCTTTAACCACTGAGCCCTCTCTCCACCCCCCTTTTATATTTTTTTTATTTTATTGATATTTATTGAGTTCTACATTTTTCTCTGCTTCCCTCCCTGCCTCTACCCTTCCCCCTTCAACCCTTCCCCAAAGTCCCCATGCTCCCAGTTTACTCAGAAGATCTTGTCTTTTTCTACTTTCTACTTCCCATGTAGATTATATCTACGTAAGTCTCTCTTAGTGTCTGCATTGTTGTCTAAGTTCTATTTTTTTTTTTAAGGCAGGATCTCATTCTATATCTCTATCTGGCCTGGAATTCAGGAACTTGCTGTGCAAACCAGGTTGATTTTAAATTCACAAACCTGCCTTAGTCTCCAAATGTTGGGATAAAAGGTGTGCATTACCACTCCCAGCTTCTCTACCTAATTTTTGTTTCGTGTGAACTGTCTACAATAAACATGGCTTTTTAAAAGTACCCTGCTGGGTGTGGTAACATACACTTGTAACGCCAGAATTTGAAATTACTGGCAGGAAGGATCAGGAGTTCAAGGGCAGTCTGAGCTAGGTACCAAGTTCCACACCAGTCTAGACTAGTTGAGGTCCTGTCTCAAAAACAAACAAAAGAGAGGCCGGGCGGTGGTGGCGCACACCTTTAATCCCAGCAAGGCGGATCTCTTGAGTTTGAGGCCAGACAGCTCTACAAGAGCTAGCTCCAAAGCCATAGAGAAACCCTGTCTCGAAAAACAAAAAACCAAAAACAAGAAAGGAGAAAAAGGCCTCGCATGACCGTGTGTATCCACAATCTCAGCACTCAAAAGGCAGAGGCAAGAGTCAGGAGTTCAAGGTAATCCTCAGGTATTTGCCAGTTCAAGGTTAGCCTGGGCTACAAGTGATCTTGTCCTTTCCCCCATAGTTCTTTCCCATATGTAAGTCCCTAAGTAATACTGGGAAAGACAACGTGCTAAATATAAGTTAACAGTAGTGGGTAAGCCTATTTCAAGGTCGGCCCTGAATTCACAGAGATCTGCCTGCCTCTGCCTCTCAAATGCTAGAATTAAAGACATCATACCTGGCTTCTTCTTCTCTTTTTCCTTTCTTGTTCCCTTATATTAGTCTATTATAGGTTTTCTGCAGCTGTTTTTATAAATCGGGAAGAAAAAAAAATAAGGTTTTTGTGTGTTTTTTTTTTTTTTTTTTTTTAAAGAAAAATTTCCTCCAGGCATAGTGACACACACACCTTTAATCCTAGTGGTCTGGGGGCAGAGGCAGGTGGGAACTTGTGAGCTCCAGGTCAGCCCGATCTACATAGAAAGTTCCAGGCCAATCACGGTGACACGGTGAGACCCTGTTTGAAAAGAATAAAAATTTTCCTAATTGGAGCTGAAGTCTTTCAGAGTGGTATCAATTCTAGTACACAAAGAACTATATGCAATATATACATTTTATTATATAGTTATATGTATATGTGTCTGCGTATATTTGTTCTATTGCTTGCCGCGCTCTGTAATGCGCATGCCAGTATATGTGTGTGCATTGTGCCCATGCTTTTCAGGTTCTACAGGGTACACTTCTCTGTCTTTCTCCTCGTTTCTCTACAACCCTCCCATTTCGTCAAGGTCCTGCAATATGGTTAACATAGGGATATATGAAAATGACTACATGAGGCTTTGATGTCATAACCCCAGATCAGTCACACACAGGTCGTCTCAGTTCATAGACCTATCTGTACAATGAAAATCAAAACTAATCTCGTTCATGTCGACAGAACTAGTTGAATATAAGATGCTTAGTGCAGCGTAGCATGTAAGTGTTGAGCGTCTTATTCTCGTACTGTGCAAAATGGGCAAAAGTTGCATTACAAGGTTGTTGTTGCTGTTATTTCCCTCCGTACCACGAGATGCGCTGTCGCTTCCAGGCCTCCTGGCCTGAGGTCCTGATGGCGGAAGCTCGTCTAGCTGCGGCCACCGCGCTCAGGATCATAGCCCATTTCGCCTCCCGAGCGCGTCCGCCCCTTGCGGTCTCATAGGTCGATCTTGTCCCAGCGACACGCAGCACCCGGCGTCCTTAATAAGCCACCTTCCTCGCCGGCAGCTTTAGTTTCCCTGACAACAGTGATAGAGGCTTCTTCCGGGAGCCGGCATCCCTCCGTGACCTCAGCGGTACACTTCCGGGACGCGGAAGTGACCCGTCTGCCCTCCCCTTCCGTCTCTCTCTTTCCGGTGGAGGAGTCTGGAGACGACGTTCAGGTAGGAGCCCCGGCCGCCGAGAATCGTGCGACATCCACTGGTCAGGGACATCTGCGGGGTCGGGGCTGGGGTCTGTGCGCGGTATCCGAGGCAGGTGCGTGGTAGAGGCGGCCGGCCATGCGCTCGGCCTCCCGCCGGCCTCACCGGGGCCCAGGGCTGCGCCGTGTCCCGGAGGCGGCCTTCTGGCCTGAGACCGGGAGGTCGGGAGTGGGTGCGGGTCCTGCCGTGGGCCTCGCCGTCCAGCCACAGCCGTCGCGCAGGGCGCTCGGGGAGCGCGTCCCCAGCCGCGGGTGGGCCGGCACCGGCACCCCTTTAGATTGTTACGTGCGGTCGCAGGCCTGCGCCTAACCTCGTTTTTCATGTGAAAAACGCGAGTAGGCTTCGTACTTTGTAAATCGAAGAGTAAAAGGGAGTGTCAGAACCGGGTCCCTGTGCGGAGTGCTTCCAATCCGTGGTGGTTCCCTCCCCCGAGTCGGACACACTGCCTGTTGGGGTGCTCCCTCGGAGAGTCGGACTGATGGCCATGTGTTTACATTTCTCGGCATAATCGTTCTCTCATCTTCACTGAGGACAAAGCTATATCGAGTAGACGTCATGCCCCAACGATGTGTACCCCACCGAATCGTGTTGGTTAGCCTAATGTGCGGGGAAGAGCAGGTGACTGTACATCCCTAACCCTGCCCAGGCCCCAAATAATGTATAAGGAAGACGTTAGAGAGGTCCCAGGTTTGGTTGAAACCTACCTAAGGTCTGGGGTGGTTTTTGTGGAGTAGGGGCATCCTATTTGCTTGGATACAGCCTAATTTTTGTGAATGCTACTCAGCACTAGTTTCTTTCGAAGATGTTGGTAGTTTGTTCTGGAACTTAGCCTCGGGTTGGTCAAAGGCCTGCCTGTGACTTTTGGCAAAAACAAAACAAAATCTTTTTTGTGTCTTTCCCCAGGTCTTACGTTAAATTACATCATAGGCTAGGGCAGTGCATGATGACCCTTTCACAGGTCTTGCACAAGAGATACATTTACAGTTCCTAACAATACAAGATCAGAGTCACAAAGTAACAACAAAGTGATTAAAGGGTCACAGCTTTGGGCTGAGAACCACAAGGCTAGAGTTACTTGATCCCCTGAGCACTGGATTTTACACATGGAGATCTTTCCCATTAGACTTCCTGGAAGGCATACCCTGACTGTCCTGGAACTTGTTCTGTTGACTAGGCTGACCTGCATAGCAGCAGCTGGAGAAATCCTCCTGCCTCTGACTCCCGAGTGCTGGGCTTAAAGTTATACACCAGCACACTTTGGTATTGCTGTCTCTTTTACTGCTTGCTACTAGTAAAAGTTGGAAGGTTGGTTCTAAAGGGTGAGAGGCTGTCGTGGGGTGAACTGCTCATGGGTGGGGCCATCTGGTGGGATACTAAGTGTAGAAGACTTTGAAGGCTGTGTTGGCATGGATGAACTGAAAGGGATCTTCCTGCCATTTACCAGTGATCTTGGCCTTGACTTTTTTGTCTTTTAGGCTTCTTTGGACTCTAAACTGTGGTCTCGGGTCGCAGGAGACTTAGATTAAGTATTGTGTGTGGGCAGAGAATCCCCTAACCTGGTTGTGGTCTTTGCTGTTCACTGCCTTGTAGTTTACTTCATTTGTATCACACTGGACAAACTTCCAGGCTCAAGGAAGGGGGAGTTATGAGTGGAACTTGGGCCAGGACCTGAGCTCTGTTTATTTTGGATAGCTGCTTATGAAAGAGATGCATGTGGTAGTTGCTGGAACAGTGGGCTCATCCAAAAAATGCTTTGAGCTTTAGTTGAGAAATTGTCTCTTCTCTTGGCACTTCCCTTTAAGTTACAGCTCAGTAACTTCCCCGAGTACAAAGAGGTAGGATATTAGGGAGCCAGAGGAGCAAAACCTGGGTTTTCCTTTAGTACGTAGAGAAAGAATGTTCTGAACCCTTTCGTCTGTTAACATTGAGGTTCTCCTTCCACTTAGAGATGGCACCTCGCAAGGGGAAGGAAAAGAAGGAAGAACAAGTCATCAGCCTTGGGCCTCAAGTGGCTGAAGGAGAGAATGTATTTGGTGTCTGCCACATTTTTGCGTCCTTCAATGACACCTTTGTCCATGTTACCGATCTTTCTGGCAAGTGAGTACTTTGGTGAAGCCTCAAAAGGACTGAGGTGGGAGGAATTGTATTAATAAGGAGTTTGCCTATAAAGGGTCTTTGGACACCTGTAAATACAAGCAGCTCCTGTTTTGTTCAGAACCGGGATATATGTTCAAAGTAACGAGCCTGTCATACCTCAGCTGTTAACAGTAAGTGTTCTGTGTTTCTAGGGAAACCATCTGCCGGGTGACTGGTGGAATGAAGGTCAAGGCTGACAGAGACGAGTCCTCTCCCTATGCAGCCATGTTGGCTGCCCAGGATGTGGCCCAGAGGTGCAAGGAGCTGGGCATCACTGCCCTGCATATCAAACTCCGCGCCACAGGAGGAAACAGGTGTGGAAGACGGGCTGGGAAATCCACTGGTGGTGGGGGGTGGGTTTGAAATTTGATATGTTATGTCCAAGAGCAAACTGTTTGGGCATGTATGTTCCTAGTTAGGCATGGTAGCAGATACCTGTAAGCCCAGCACTCAGGAACCCATGTGAGAGGATCTAGAGTTTGGGGTTAGCTTCGGTTACACAATGAGCCTCTGCCTTAAAAAAAAGATAATTTGTTCCTTTGTTTGTCCTTACTGTAGAGTGCTTTTGTAGTATATATGAGCCCAGCCCTTTGTTCCCCAGCACCGTGTAGACTGGGTATGATAGTACACACTTGTCTTACAGTGGAGGGGGGGTTAAGGGTTTCAGGTTGGTTATTGGTTGCATAATGAGTTTGAGGCCACCTTGAGCGAAACACTGCTGCTTAAGTGATGAACTGGGGTACATAGTCCAGATAGAGACAACTGCAAGAGGAGCTTCTTCAGGTGAGAAAGAAGTTGGGCATTAAAGGAATGAATGATTAGCGTGAAGCAAGGGATGGAGCCTCGTGTCTTTTTTGTTTGTTTTTCGAGACCGTGTGGTTTTTCAAGACAGGGTTATTCTGTATAGCTTTGGAGCCTGACCTGGAACTAGCTCGTGTAGACCATGCTGGTCTCAAACTCCTTCCTCTGCCTCCTGAGTGTTGGGATTAAAGGTGTGTGCCACCACCACCTAGCAGGGTTTTTATATCTTGCGGAGCAGAGCAGAAGATGCAGGAGCCAGAAAGTAGTGGGGAGGACAGAGCAGGACAGGCGACTATGTTGCATGAGGGCATTTTCTACCACACCCCCCTTTTTTCCCTTAAGGATTTGTAGGCATTTTGGTACATATCTTTAATCCCAGAATATCTCTGGCCTGCCACCCACGAAGACACAAAAAAAGGTGGAAAATGTCTGGTGGTGGTGGAGCACACCTTTAATCCCAGCACTCAGGAGGCAGGGTGGGTCTCTGAGTTTGGAGGCCAGCCTGGTCTACAGAACAAGTTCCAGGATAGCTAGGACTGTTACACAGAAGCCCTGTCTTGAAAAAACCAAAAAGAAAAAGTGGAAGAAATTACACAAGCGTGTTGTCTGTGTGTATGTGTGCCCTGTGGAGGCCGGAAGAGAGCCGTGAATCTCTTGGAACTAGCATTGTAGGTGTCGTAAGCTACCTTGTAGGTAGCGGCGACAGAACCAAGAACCAAGCTCTCTGCCATCTCCAGCCCTCATTTAGCAATTTTGAAAATTGGGGGGGGGTCATATAACATGAAAATAGTGACCACAAAGTCTAAAATTTTATGTGACCCTCTCAGAGTATACATATCTTTAACTATAGGCTCTTCCCCACCCCCATTCAGAAATAAATCAAAACCATATGAGTTTTAGGAACATTGCCACTTATTTGGCCAACAATCCTTCATTTTCTAGGACCAAGACCCCTGGACCTGGAGCCCAGTCAGCCCTCAGAGCTCTTGCTCGCTCAGGCATGAAGATTGGGCGGATTGGTAAGTGCCCCGTCTAGCTAAGGTTTGGGTTTGTTCTGAAGCATTGACCCCTTCCAAACCATGTGATGTGCATACATGGTTCGGGCTTGTCTGGTGGTGGTTACTTTTGTTAGAGGAACCTGTAGAGACATTGTAAGAATTGATCTCTAAATGCCGCTCTGTTACATCATGTTTTCCCCATCTGTGGTGGGAAAGCCTAAACCCTTCTGAATCTGATTTCAGCAGCCTTTGTCCCTAATTACTAAATATTAGAGCATGCTCCTTGGGCCAGTCCAAATAAAAGAGCTAGCTGCACACACCTGGTCTCAAGAGCAGACAGCCACAGTTGCTCAGTGTAGGTAGGGGCACTTTCTGTTTGTTAGTCAGTAGGCTCTGAGTTAGGAACCTGAAGGTGTCCTCAGATGTTTATGTGCCTTCTTATAGCCCATGTCCCTTTCTAATGTGAGTTGGGATGAGGAAATGGGCAGGTGAGGGGCCTTGTTTGCTGACCACTGGGGATACATTTGGGCAAGAATGAATTCTGCTAGTTAGTCTCATTGGCTGGGGAGGCCTGTGTCTTCAGGAAATGACATTTTTTTCTTCCTTCTCACAGAGGATGTCACCCCCATTCCCTCTGACAGCACCCGAAGGAAGGGGGGTCGTCGTGGTCGCCGTCTGTGAACAGGACTTCTCAAATTATTTTCTGTTAATAAATTGCTTTGTATAAGCTATTTTGGTCCTTTTGTTTTTTAATTTGTTTTGAGGCAGGGTCTCCATAGCCCTGGCTTCCTGGT